CTCTTCATTTATTTCTCCCATCCTCTTCTCTTACTCTCTTCCCCCTCCTACTTTCAACCGCGTACGCGGTGCCCTCTCCCGCCCGCGAGGTCATCCAGCAGAGATGATCCCTCCCCGTGGACATGGGCACAGGGAGGAGGAGGAGGAGGAGCGTGAATATTTTAAGCTGTGCCACCTGTCGGCCGCGGGCGGAGGCAGGCGTCGCGCTGCTGATCCCCCCGCTGGCACTACAAAGCGGGATTGGGTTGTCCTTTTTGCTCCATTTGTGCGTCACCAAGAAGGCGATGTCTACTCCGGGTAGCAGTGTGTTGGGCTGATATATATCTGATGCTAGTAATGTGCGGGTCTGAATTTTAAATATCTGTTTAATGTGGTTTGCGACAGTGGCTGGTTTAGTATTCTTAGCGACGGTAGTTGTCGACGTCAACGTAAGTCGTTGACATATTAAAAACAAAAATCATGACCAACTCCAAAAAAATACCTAAAAATGGCAATAAAGGGAACGTCGTAATATCCTCTTCGTAAGATCATGAGTAGGAACACTGAAAACGCATGTGTGTGAATGTCGCACACTTCTAAGTGGGAATGCCCACGCGTACTCTTCAGGGAGGATAGGTGTCAATTTTCCTTTAAAATTCACACACACATTCGCTCGTGCGACATTTACACTCTTGGTTTTCCGGTGAAGTGTCTGTCTGCGGTGGTATGGCGGTGAGCGTGGACCCGCTTTTACGTTTACCTGGTGGACAGTTGCAAAGGGCTAGTCTAAACAACCCGCTTCTTTTGGTGGCTCATGACCTTGCGCACATAATGGTGTCCTCGCTCCATGCTGCTTTAAAGTGCGTTTGTGATATGTCGTGCTGGCAATGTGCAGGCCAGAGACCACGGCTGTGGTGGACCGGACCCCTTGCGGCCGCCCGCCAGTCGCCCTTTCCACGAGGCGTGGGAGGGAAGGTGGGGGAGGGGGGTGCGACGAAGGTTGAGGGCACCAAATGGCATGGCAAGTAGGCGGCGGGGCGGACTCGAACCCGTGACCAGCGGCGGCCTCGGGGCTCGGCCCCGCCAGGATGCGACGGCCGCGGGGACCCCTACCCCCTCTCTCCTTCTCTCCCTTATATCGATCTGTGGTGGTGCGAGCAGTTTACCCTCAGCTGTGAAAGGGGGCGTGGCCGGGCCCACCCCGGGCAGGGCCGGAGTAAGGGGGGAGAGAGAGAGCGAGAGAGAGAAAGAATGTATGCGTCCAGGTGACCAGTGAGCTCGTGAGCATTTATTACGAGGAGTAAAACCAAAATTCGCTAATAGTTTCTTCCAAAGAACTGTCGCTCTTTTTAAATAATTTGGCACCTTCAAAATAGACACAAATTCTTTGTATTACAAAGGTCTCGGCTTCGTTATACAAGGAGCACGTGCCCAGTATCTGTTAACAAACACTGTTTACCCAAGTGTATCCGTAGTACACTCTTCCTTGTGTTTATTTTAAGGCACACACAAAGACGTGTGCTCCTGGCATGGCACACACTATGAAGTGTGTACATGTGTGGCACACACTTCATAGTGTGTACCCGGCACATAGCGTAGCGCTATGGCAAGTATGACTGGTTTAGATGAATTAAGGTTAGACCTACTGGGGCGCACTCATACACTTCCTAGTGTGTGCCATGCCAGGCACACACTTTGTTGTGTGCGCTTTCAAGTACACGCAAGGAAGAGTGTACTATGTACACACTTGGTTTACAGTGAAGGTGCTCTTTGAAGTGTTTGAGAGCGTTAAGACCTCAATATTCAACGTATGCAATAAAGAGGGATTATCGGTGGCAGCTGCTGTTTTTGATTTCTTTCAGTGCCTCGCACCCCTACGCTTTGCTTCAAGGAGTAGAGGATGAGATTTAATTTGTTTCCGCACTTACTCGCTTGTCGCACTCTATCCCTCTCCCTCTCTCTTCACTGTGCCCCTCGCTCGCTCCTCTCCAAATATATTCCGCACGGCCCGGGGGGTAGATAGGATGGGGAGGGGGGAGGGAGATATCGGGCTACCGCAACCGTAGTATGACTTATCGCCGGGACTTGGTGTTTAAGGAAATGTGGCTCTCGAGCAAGCGCTGGCCCAGCGGTGGGGGATGGTATCTCCTGCTTTAGTGGGACCAACCTGGCTAAATGCTAACTCTGTCCCCTGAGCCGCCGGCGGAGAGACGCTGTTCTTGGCCCTTGCCTTGACTTCCTCCCCCACCTTCTACCTATTACGCTCTCATCTGCCCCCCCCCCCCCCCCCCTTCTCTCCCTTTCTCCTTTGCAACTCAATCTTTCCTCTTTAATACCTTCCCTGCCGTCTTATAGCCCCTCCGGTGTGGTATGTAGTCCTGGTGATTCAAAGTCACAACTCTGGTTCATGCGCCACGTGCGAGCACTACTGCAGCAGCAATGCCTTTGTTTGTTTGCCCTACCGACCTCCTTTGGTTCTTCGAGCGCCCTCCTAAAACTGCACTCACCCCTTTCGTTTATAGAGGGCACAAAATATGGGTCATTCTTGGCCGAATCGTCGGAGGTATTACAATGAGGGTGCCCGGTTAGACTTGCTGAAATAAACCATATCCGAGATCTCTTTCGCTTTCTCTATCGTATTCCCTGTGGGGAATCCTAGAGATGACCTTGAAAAATGGAATGCGGTGATGATTTGGGTGATGTGTAGCTCCTCATATTCTAAATGGCGGAGATGATGGAGCATACGCATTTCCCTATATTGAACCTTTCTACCGACGCGTGTGCGACGCACGGACCACCGACGCGGCTGCCTACTCAGCCCACTCTGTGGGATTACCTTTGTCGAATAGTGCGGGCGCGTGCGGTGCCCCCCCCCCCCTCTCTCTCTCTCTATCTCTCTCTCTCTCTCATAGGGATACACCATCGATTGGGACATGAACGCGGAGCGGTCGCGATGGGTCGCGCGCTTTGCTACTCTACAAATAAAAGTCTATGTGCCAAATGTTCATTCTTAGACCACCGTTATAGCGAAGGGGCTTCGTCCGTCCAAGACCAGGAATGACACTCAAAATATTTTACCGTTGCCGGCAGAAAAAGAACTCCCGCACTGCCCTTGGATAAAGTCTATCGGCCGCAGCAGCACCGTGTGTGCGACTTTACTATACCCCGCCCAGTATTCCACCTGGTGCTGAGCGTCTGGAAGAGGGCCGTCGTCTTCGTCTCATCCTCCGTCAGGCTGATCGAGTTAGAGCAGTTGCCAGTGGCAAGCGTTCGCGTCCTCTCCTTCCCTCTCTCTTTCCACTCTCCCTCTCCCGCTGCCGCTCCCCGTGTGAGCGCAGCAGTGGTGATAAAGATGGAGTGCTGACCGTTCCGTTCCGTTTTGTTGCCCCGGAAAGGCGGGGCCCGGCGGCGGCCCACGGGGTAGAGAGAGAGAGAGAGAGAGAGAGAGAGAGAGAGAGAGAGA